AACAGAGAAAATTCCAGATAATTTAGAGGTGGTTCAAAAATGGTTTGATGTCGCCGAAATGGCTAAAATTTCTTGTATATTAAAAGGGAAAGATGATGGGATGTTTAAGAAGAATTGGGGGAAATTATACAAATGGAAAGTAAAGCGGAAGGGTCAGGATGGGATTTGAGACATATTACGTAGTTGGAAGTAAATATGGCTGTATGCTCGTCTGTGTATAATCGTACTAATAGCACATGTTTTGTTGGGTGTTGGGTATTGGATAAAATCAATAAAAATATTTTTTTAAAAAGAGGAAGAAGAAGAGGAGAAGATAAGAGATTAGATTTATACCCTGCCCATCACTACCCAAACGAGTCTCAGAGCAGCTTACAAACTCCTTTCCCTTCCCCTCCCCACAAGAGGCACCCTGGGAAGAAGAGGAAGAAGATATTGGATTTATACCCCACCCTTCACTATCCAAGGGAGTCTCAGAGCAGCTTACAAACTCCTTTCCCTTCCCCTCCCCACAAGAGGCACCCTGGGAGATAGGTGGGGGCTGAGAGAGCTCTGACAGAAACTGCTCTTTTTTCAAGAACAGCTCTTATCGGAACTATGGCTTGCCCAAGGTGCGAGTGGAGGAGTGGGGAATCAAACCGGTTCTCCCAGATTAGAGTCCGCACACTTAACCACTACACCAAACTGGAGCATCCGGGGGAGGTCCCCTGTGACTTTGGTGTCTCTAGTTTGCACAGGATCTGTTCTATACACTCCTGAACCTGCACCTGTCATAATGACAGGAGGTCATTTCGAAAGGTGTAAGTTTAGGAGTGTATAGAATGGATTCTGTGCAAACTAGAGACACCAAAGTCACAGGGGATCTCCAGCTGACTCTCCTCTACTGGACCTCCAAGTTTGGTGAGGATTGAATTTACGGGATCCCAAGAAGGTGCCCCCAGAAAGACACTCCTGATATGACAAAATGAGAATTGCGTCAGTCTACCCAGCTTGCATTTCCCCCACAATCCACTGCAAAGCACAAAAGGAGACGAAGGGACCAGAGACAGAGCCTTTTCATTGGTGGCTCCAGCTTGGTGGAATGCGCTTCCAGCTGAGATCCAGGCCCTGCAGGATTCGATACAATTCAGTGTATCAGTGGGTGATGGATAGTCCATTCCAGACCAAGGATTTGAGCATCCTATGAGAAGATCTACCATGCTGACGGCCAGATAGACAATGAACATAAGAACTCAGAGAAGGCCACTGTTAGGGGCAAGGAGCTGGCACCTCAGACCCAGGCTTCACGTGACACTTAGAGCGCTGGGCGGGTCTTCTCTTGTGTCTGTAGGACACAGAAAGGTAGCTTTGAAGCGTTCTGACCATTCTGGAACTTTGGTGGGATTTGCTCTTCTTCTCAATAATGCAAAACGTTTGCGTGGGTTGGCCGGGGGGAGGGACCATTGCAGGGACTCCGAGAAGATGGCCGTGAGCCAAGAGTTTGGAAACGGCCCTTGTGAAAATGCTCCCACCTGTTTCAAGACACCTCTGGGGGACCCGGATGCTGCCGTGAGACTCAGGAAGTCCTGGGTGAGCTTCCTTCGCCCATTCTGAATGCCCCCGCTCAGTTGTTCGGAAGCTAACCCTCAGGGGAAGGCAAAATCACCAAGATGAATGATCAGAACTTGGAAAAGAGATTTAATCAGATAAGGACGGATGTTTCCTTGTGTGTCGAATCCGTGGCAGTGCCCTGGAAAATCCTTCACCCAGGATCACAAGAAACAGCTTGCTAATATTTAACCGGTTATCTGTTATCTGAACTTTGGGCTCTTCTATGTTCGCATTGTCTTCCCAGGACAACCGGCTCCCTCCAGGCAATTTTCGTTTCCTGGCCCCAGGAACGAGTCCCGCTCTGGTCAGGGAGTGCAAAGAAAAGTGCCTCGGACGTGGCATGGCCAAACGGGTTGAGGACAAGCAGGGATCTTTTTGTAGAAAAAGGCCAGCAGGAACTCATTAGCATAATAGGCTACACCCAACAGCAGGAACTCATTAGCATATTAAGCCACATCCCTGACAGCACCACTCATTGGCATATTAGGCCACACCCCCATGTTACCAGAAGTGTGATCATCCAGCCACACCCACCTTTTGCTTCTTATTCTGTTTACCTTGTTTGTTGTCAAAACCCAGGGCTTTTTTGTAGCAGGAACTCCTTTGCATGTTAGGCCACACACCCCTAATGTAGCCAGTCCTAATGAGTTCCTGCTGTTGGGTGTGGCCTATTATGCTAATGAGTTCCTGCTGGGCGTGGCCAACTTGGGAGCCAGCCGGAACTCCGTTCCTGTGCGTTCCTGCCCAAAAATAGCCCTGAGGACAAGGGATCTGAAATGGGAGTGATACCCACTGCAATACTCCCTCTAAGCTGTGGAGTCTTGTGAGCAAAAATTCTACTCTGTGAGCTACTGGCATTAAAGTTGTGAGCGAGCGATTTGGCTACTGCATCAATTAGTTTGCTCTGGAGCCCTCCTTCCTGAGCTCAGACAAAAAAATGTGTGAGCCGGAGGCTAAAAAATTGTGAGCTAGCTCACACTAACAGCTTAGAGGGAACATTGGCCCACTGGCCAAGAGGTGGGTGGAACTGGGTCCAGATAAGGCAGCTTGCACATTCATGCAGAAGGGGTTGAAATGTCGCCCTGTCAGTTGGCTTCCACACCCCACTTCATTCCCATGAAAGCCGCAGAATGTATGCTTTGGGGAACAGAACTGTTCCTGAAACACCAGAAGACTCCAAATGAATTAAGGGGACTGATGGACTAGAAGGCCCCCAGTTGAATCGCTGCTTGAGATAGTCGGCAGGGAGCCTGGGGGTGGGGTGTCAGCCAATGCTCCCTCTAAGCCGATGTGAGCAAACATTCTGCTTTGTGAGCTACTGGCATTAAAGTTGTGAGCGAGCCATTTGCCTACAGCATAAATTAGTTTGCTCTGCAGCCCCATCCTTCCTGAGCGGAGACAAAAATGTATGAGCAAGAGGCTAAAAAACTGTGAGCTGGCTCACACTGACTCAGCTTAGAAGGAACACTGTCTGCCTCCTCTAGCCACAGCTGCCGCCACAGAAGGAGGGGCCCTGCCTGGCTTGTACAGCTTCTCTTGCTGCTCCTCGGAATAGGTGAACACTCAGGGCCGCACTTTTGGAGGGCCCAGCTCTTTGAGCCCCTGGCAGCAGCGCAGGGGTGTTCTCAGGCTCTACAGCAGGCCCCCCCACACCGCCCAACTCCAGCTGCCTGCAGAAGCAGAGAGTGAAATTCCCCAGGCCCAAGAGGGGCCAGTGCCCAAGGCCATGCCCCTCCGCGGCCATTCCTTCTGATCTCCATCCGCCGAGCAACTGTCCGAAGCTCCCGTTCTTCATCCCAAAGAGTACAGGGATGGAGGGTCTCCAAGAGTCGGTATTGCCAGCCGGCCTCTCCACCATGGATTGTTCCAAGCTAAGATGGGTCTCCCTGTGCCCCAGGAGGCCCAGCTCAGTGTTCCAGTCAGCTGACTTAACATGGGAGAAGCCAGAAGTCTGGGCTTTCTCCCTGCTGTTTCCCCACCCCGCTGCCTTCCACGTGGCCAGATGGGGTACAGTGTCTGGACCCCCAGAGAAGAGAGCCCCCCCTCTAGTTCATTCCGGTAGCTTTTATTGACCCTCTAGTGTCCCACCCTCAGGCCCACCAGTGAGGACACACAACCAAACTGGAGAGAGAGCTCTGTCAGGAACTGCTCTTTTTTTCAAGGACAGCTCTTGACAAAACTATGGCTTACCCAAGGTCATCCAGCAGGTGCGAGTGGAGGCGCGGGGAATCGAACCCGGTTCTCCCAGATTAGAGTCCGCACACTTAACCATGACACTACACTGGCTCTCTACATCAGGGTACGACGTCCATGTCAAGACACGCCCGGAGGGCAGGCCCGACAATGCTCCCTCCCTGGCTGCTGCTGGTGGTCTCCTCCGGCCTAGACAGAGCAGAACCAAACCCCACTGCTAGGCGTGCATTATTGAGCCCCGATTCTGCCCCCAGGCTCTGTGCAGACAGCTTGTCCAGGGGTGGGGGGACCCAACGAGACAAGGAAGAATGGCCACCCCCAGGAACTGGCACAGAATCCCTGCTGGTGACAGATGACCCACTGACAATAAGTGGGTCAACTGGGGAGTATAGGGTTGCCGAGTCCGACTTACCCTGCCAGTCACCAAACTGGCTCTCTACATCAGGGCACGACGTCCATGTCAAGACACGCCCGGAGGACAGGCCCGACAATGCTCCCTCCCTGGCTGCTGGTGGTGGTCTCCTCCGGCCTAGACAGAGCAGAACCAAACCCCACTGCTAGGCGTGGCCCCGCCCCCAGCGTGCCCGGGGTCATGACATCACTTCTCTGTGATGTGCACGCTGGGGCGGGGTTCCCCCCGGGGCCCGATTCCCCGGCGTCTGGGAACGGGCCTCTGGGGTGGGGGGATTTCTGCCCCCCGGGGGGACTTGGCAGCCCTAGGGGAGTGGCCAGCACCAGGCTGAGCTCCCTGGCCCTCTTCTGTGGGTACCGTAACTTGGCATTGTCCCAACAGCCCGGGCTAGATCATAGGAACTCTCGGAGGGTGCTGTGGCTCAGGGGTGGGGCCCCGGCTTTGCATACAGAAGGCCCCAGGTTCAATCCCCAGCAGCAACTCTTGTTAAAAGGGTCTCAAGGGCTGGTGCTGCAAAAGACCTTTCTCTGCCAGATAGCCAAGGGAGGGAGGGGAGATGATACTTGGCTACCCCCGAGTTGGCTTAAGGCAGCTGCATTCGTTCATTTGTTCACCCGGATGCGGGGCACACGGCCCCCAAAAACAGCCTGCGAGAACAACCTACTCGACAGAGGCTCTGAGGCCAGGCAGAAAGAGGTCCCCCCGTCTCAGTCTCCTCAGGAGGTCTGAGCCGGAGGGAGCTGCCCCAGCGTCTAGGCAATGCCTTCTGGGTAAAGAGTCCAGCCAACTGGCACTCGCCATTCTGTGTGCCGTGATCTTTTATTGCTCGGAGGGGAGCGGGCCTTGCAGAGTGTGACAATGGTGGGATCTGAGGGCCGCTGGAAGGTGAACTTGGAGGCGGGAGTGCCCTTTCCCACCACCACCACCCCGGTGCAGGTTAGGAGTATTCCCGGAGGAACTTGGCGTGGAACTGGGTCAGCTTCTGCAGCAGGATCTTGAGCTTCTCCAGGGGCGGCAAAATGGTCATTCTGGGAAGGAGAGCAAACGACGAGGCATTCAGAGCCGTGAAGAGTGACCCACGGACCCGCCCAGCCCCCCACACCTTGACAGAGGCAGTCCCACCCAGCCAGAGTTGCAGCCCCTCCCAAAATCAACCCAATTCCTCAGAGAGCCAGTGTGGCACGCGGGTTAAGAGTGTCAGACTGGGATCTCAGAGACGCAGGTTCGAATCTCTGCCCCACCGGGGAAGCTCGCTGGGTGACCTCGGGCCGGTCACACGCTCTCCGCCTGACCAACATCACAGGGTGGTCGTTATGATTTGCGGTTGGAGCAAATGTCTCGGGGAACCAGGTGGAGAGTTACCTGAAGTGAAAGGTGCCCTCCTTCTGCCCAAAGCCGCTCCCTGGCACAACGCAGATGCCCGTCTCTTCCAGCAGCTGGAGGCAGAAAAACATGTCCGGGGCCTTGCCTTGTGCCTGGGGGGGAGAGAAGAGGCGTCATTGCAATTCCGCAGGGCCTGTAAGGCAAAGACGTTCCACCAGGCATTCGCCTGAGGACGGCAACGGTTAAACGTCATGGCCGACACCCTACTTGGACCCCCTACTCCTCACAGAGCTTACTCCCCCCCTGAACGTGTGTGAAGCACCCACAGACCAGACCTGGGAGGGAGCCACAAAATTCTCGCCACTTGTTTTCATTACTGTATGTTGTTGGGCCTGGTTTCATCCTCATGCTTTTATGCTTTTAGATCTCTGTACATCGCCTAGAGCCCCAGAACTGTGGGGATAGGCGATTAATAAGTGGAAATAAATAAATAAATAAATTGCCAAGAGGAGCTGGTGGAAGGGAATCTGCCTAAGATATGGGGAAGGGGCTGTCGCCGCCGGGCAACCTGAACCCAGCGCAGCTCAGAGAACAATTTCCAATTTGTTAGCTGTTGCAGATTTTCCGGGCTGTCCAGGCATGGTCTTGGCATTGTAGGACCTGACCGTTTTGCCAGCAGCTGTGACTGGCATCCTCAGAGGTATAACACAGAAAGATGGAGTACTCTCTGTGTCAAAGTGAGAAGGAAAATGGTAGGCAGGTAATTTATATCTACTCAGGAAGGTGGGGTAGGGCTGAGTCATTGTCTTGTAGGAGTCCCCCAGGCTGTGAACATGCTAACGGAGGAGCTTTCCTGAGGAGGTTCTTTTGCATATGGATCGGCTGTTGAAATTCTAATCTTATCTGTAGTGCTGTTGTAAGATGTAGGGCATTTTGTGTTTTTCAGGACAGGCAACCATGCCCTGTTTATTTTTAAACTCTCTTCTTTCCTGTTGAAATTGTGTTTATGTTTATGAATTTCAATGGCTTCCCTGTGTAATCTGACATGGTAATTGGATGTGTTGTCCAGCCTTTCAGTGTCTGGAACAAAATACTGTGTCCTGTAGTCTCCAGTTTGCCCCAGGCTCACGTTTTCCCATCCCTGGCCTTGAAGATTGAGCCCAGCATGCTTGGATGCTGCCGTGGCCGTCACCAATCTCCAAGTAAATCTGCAAGGAGCACATCCCCTACAAGTAGTCGGACACCTGAGAACCAGTGATAGCATGCTGCTGATGGTGGAGGTTCCATTCTCAGCTGCTGCGGCTAAGAGAAGTATCAGCTGGGCTTCAAGCGGCCTCCAGCTTCCTCTTTAGGCCAGGAGGACTTTCAGCAGGGCTTCTGCCCCTTGTTTGCGGGACTCTCTTGCATAAGGAACTCTATTGGCCTGAAAGTCAGTCCGCTTGCCTGTTATCCCCCCTCTTGTGGCAAAAGTAAGTGGGGCTCTGACTGTGGAGAGGCACTGGCAGAGAGAGGTGGGGAGGACCGCAAAGGCAGTCGGCGCTTTTCTCCACGGCTGAGGCCGGCCATGCATCTTAACGGTGCGTTGCGGCTGGTTTCCCCCAGCTCCCGGAGGAGCAAGAGAAGGAGAGATGCAGCCCCAGCTTGTGTTCTCCTCCACTCAGCCCTTCCGGCTGCAGAAAAGCCTTCAAAATTCTCAGCAGCCCTCAGCCTCTTGCAACAGTCCGGCTGGGCAAAGGCAGGCAGAGGGCCGGGGAAAGTGGGGTTGTCCTTAGTGGATTCTTCCTCCATCTTTCACGCATCGTTTGGCACCAGAAGAGAACTGATACATCAATGTGTGTGGTCTGTGACGCCCATTGGCAAGGTCAGAGGAGAGACCTGCCCGGAGTTCAGCTTAGAGGTGTCAGTCTGCAGTCCACACATGGAGCAGATCTCTTCTCTCTTGCTCCGGATTGCAAGACTAGATGTAATGGGTGGAAATGACAAGGGAGTCGATGTCGGCTAAATAGCAGGAGAGACTTCCTAACTGTAAGAGTGGTTAGTGGATGCTCCTTCTCTGGACGTTTCCAAGTGGAGGCTGGACGGCCATCTTTTGGGTCTGTTGTAGGGCGATTATCTTTCAGTTCTGCTCCTGCAGAGTGCAGGGGGCTGGACTATATGACCCACAAGGCCCCTTCCAACTCTAACACTCTATGATTCTATGAAGCATCAGCAGCAGGAGGGGTCATTTCCTGCGGGAGTGCACAGGAGTGGAGCTCCGGCAGTAAAGAGCCTAGGGGGCGGGCACATGGAACAAGCCCCACCCCCTGCTCCCAGCAGCCCTCAGTCAGAACAAGAAGCAGCCAGGTAAGTTGCAGGCCCCCCCCCCGGTCCAAAACAGACCAAGTTTTATTCAGGTACAAGCTCTCCCCCGGTTGGGAAAGTTCTGCCCGTCCCCCCCCCCCCCAATAGCTAGCAATCCAAAACAGTCCAGTGGAGCCTGAGCGGTAGGTGTTGCCTTGTGACACATCTCCGGTGATGTCAGGGGGTGTGGCATATGCAAATAAGTTATGCTAATGAGTTATGCTAAAGAGTTATGCTAATGAGCTCCACCTCTTTTTTATGAAATGACCCCTGGGTGTCCTTATCACCACCCCCTCCCCGCATGCGCTTGTACTCCATGCGTACAAAACATCTTGAGAATCTCCACAGCAGGTTCACATACGGAATGGGCATCCTCCCCCCATCTCAGCCAAATCGCTCAGCTCTGCCAGGCTGCAGCTTGCCACGTTCTTGGGCAGGTGTTTCCCCCAGACCCTGCTGGGGATTCTGCAGAGTGAAGTCTCCGGCTCTTCCCCTGAGCCCTGTCCCACTCCTGCTGCCTCTCTGCAATCAAGGCACTGGGTCGCTCGGAAAGAGGAGCTTCAGGGAATGGGGCTTGGGGCCTAACTGAGTGCGGCCGGCCTTACCTTCGCTGCTTCCACAGCCCGAGGAGGTAACTGGATCCGGGGGAAGGCGTACATGGCCCCCTGCACCGGATTGCAGCGGAATCCTGGGGCTCGATTCAGGGTCTCCTCTGTGAGCCGTGCCTTCTCAGCAAGGGCGTCCAGCACAGCCTGCTTCTCCTGCAAGGGGAGGCCTCAGGGTCAGCTCACGGGGAACGCTCCCTCTGAGCTGTGGAGTCTTGTGGGCAAAAATTCTCCTTTGTGAGCTACCGGGCATTAAAGTTGTGAGCCAGCAAACTGGCTGCTGCATAAATCAGTTTGCTCTGGAGCCCCATCCTTCCTGAGCTAAGACAACAATGCGTGAGCCGGAGGCTAAAAAACTGTGAGCTAGCTCACACTAACTCAGCTTAGAAGGAACAACTGGTCACGGGGAAGGAGCTTCCTGACATGAGGAAGAGGAGGAGGAGAAGAAGAAGAAGAGGAGGAGGAGGAGATTGGATTTACATCCCACCCTTCACTACCCAAGGGAGTCTCAGAGCGGCTTACAATCTCCTTTCCCTTCCCCTCCCCACAACAGACAGACACCCTATGAGGTAGGTGGGGCTGAGAGAGCTCTCTCGAGAACTGCTCCTGAGAGAACAGCTCTGAGAGAACTTGTGACTGACCCAGGATCACACCAGCAGCTGCAAGTGGAGGAGTGGGGAATCAAACCCGGTTCTCCCAGATCAGAGTCCACACTCTTAAGCACTTCACCAAACTGGATCACGAGGAGAGGACCAACCCGCCGAGGGCCCATTTGGGAAACAAACAGGGAAAGGGGCAGAGGTCTGTTGACCACGTTATTCCCAGGCATGAGAGGGCCAACGGGCGGGGGGGTTGTCTAAAATGGCCGTCCTCTAGCCCCGCCCCACCCGTTTCCCTCCTGCAGCAGGCAAGTTGGAAGGACACAATTTAGAACCGTCCAAAGGACAAAATTAAAACACAGATTAAAAGCACTCGAGAAGACAGACACAAGAGACCTAAAACACAGAGAATCACCTGGGGTTGCCAGCTCCAGTTTGGAAAATCCCTGGAGATTTGGGGGGTCCGGGGGTGGGGCCTGGGGAGAGGGGAGTTTGGGGAGGGGAGGGACCTCAGCAGGGTATAATGCCTTAGAGTCCGCCTTCCAAAGCAGCCATCTTCTCCAGGTGAATGCGTCTCCGTAGTCTGGAGATCAGTCAAATTCGGGGGGATCTCCAGGTCCCACCTGGAGGCTGGCAACCCTAGCAAACAAGAGCAGAACCAGCCCAGGCAAATCGGCTGGAAAAGTTCACCCTCCATCAAATGCTCCCTGCCTTGCATGCCTTCCTAAATAGAGCAACTGAAACAACTGAAATCCATAAGAAGCAAAAAAACAAACAAACCCTTCAGCTCCGGTCTAAAAGATCCAATCCAACCAGCAGCAGCCAACCAACCACAGACACAAGCATCTAAGAAATGGTGAGAAAGACAAAAGCGGCTTCCCCATGGCAGCAATTTTCCCTGGAACTTTCACTGCCGCTGCAAAAGCACAAAGGCTTCCGGTGGCAACGGAGTATCTATGTGGAAGGTTTTCTCCCACTCTCCTTACTTCAGCTGGCACCAGAGGGTGTTTTCTGGAAGATCTCTTGAGCATTATACAATCTGTCTGCTAGCTCTTCTGAATTTCAAATTTTCATTAAAAAAAAAAAGGTTTTAGTCCTTTTCATTGCTAAGATATAAGGGGAAAGGCGTGGGTCTGCAACAAAAAGGGCTACAGACTTCTTTTTAAAAGCTGGGGATTCAGAGGATACAATCTGTCTTCTAGCTCTTCTGAATTTCAAACTTTCATTTAAAAAAAAGGGGTTTAGCCCTTTTCATTGCTAAGATAAAAAGGGAAAGGTGTGGGTCTGCAACAAAAAGGGTTACAGACTTCTTTTAAAAAGCTGGGGATTCAGAGGATCTAGCAGATATATTGTTACGATGCTATGGCAATATGTAAAACTGCAGATGTTTTAAAAAGCCTGAAAAGCAGCCAGGCAGGGCGAGGGGCTGATGTGGTGTAGCTCCTAGAGTCTCTGACTAGGGATGACCGGATTCAAATCCACTGCTTATCCACGGAAGCCTGCCAGGTAAACTTGGGCCCATCACAGTCTCTCAGCCTGTCCTGCCCTCACAAAGTTGTTATTGGAAGGATCACGTGGAGGAAAGTTTCTTTGGGTCCCTCATCAAGGAGACACGTGGGATATCATATTTAAAGCATTCATAAGCAAGGGAAATGGGGCCAGCCCGGATGGAGCCTCCCAAACTGCACACCTTCCCATCTGCATGGTGTCCAAAGGTCCTTTGACTGTGATCTTTCCAAAAAGATCATATCAAACCAGGTTTTGGAAAGACTGAAGCAAGGGGGGGGGGGACACACACAGAAAGAGGATGGCTGAGGGTGTTGTTGTGGACCTTGAGGATGACACAAGGCTTTTCAGCACTCTCATTTTCCTTGCTTGTAAGTTCCTGTTTGGGGGGGGTGTCTGTTCTGCATGCGTTTTGCACCCTCTAGTGGTCGGTGCTATATTATACCGGTTTATGTCTGGCATATTCAAATCCATTGCTTATCCACGGAAGCCTGCCAGGTAAACTTGGGCCCATCACAGTCTCTCAGCCTCTCCTGCCCTCACAGAGTTGTTATTGTAAGGATCAAGTGGAGGAGGAGGGAACGATGGGGAAAGTTGCTTTGGGTCCCTGATCAGGGAGAAACGTGGGATATCGTTTTTAAAGCATTCACAAGCAAGGGAAATGGTGCCAGCCCGGACGGAGCCTCCCAAACTGCACACCTTCCCATCTGCATGGTGTCCAAAGGTCCTTTGACTGTGATCTTTCCAAAAAGATCATATCAAACCAGGTTTTGGAAAGACTGAAGCAAGGGGGGGGGGGACACACACAGAAAGAGGATGGCTGGGGGGGTTGTTGTGGACCTTGAGGATGACACAAGGCTTTTCAGCACTCTCATTTTCCTTGCTTGTAAGTTCCTGTTTGGGGGGGGTGTCTGTTCTGCATGCGTTTTGCACCCTCTAGTGGTCGGTGCTATATTATACCGGTTTATGTCTGGCATATTTCCTGCAGATTTAAACTGCAGGTTTTTTATGCTGGACATACACTGTGTAATATCAAATCAACCACTAGAGGGAGCAAAACGCACATGGAACAGGGGGAAAGTCCTGAAGAAACAGGAGTTTACAAGCAAGGAAAATGACAATGTGAGAAAGTATATGGAGCACGTCTGGGTCAGCTGAATGGGGCAATTGGTCTGCAGGTCTCAGGGGCGGTTGTCAGCCTGGGCCCCAGCTTGTCAGTGAAGCACCCCAATGCTCCATCTGATATCCACCATTCTTACCCTGACCTTCCTCCAAGGAACTCAGGGCACCACACCTGGTTCCTCCCTCCCCATGTGATCCCCACAACAACCCTGCAAGGTAGGTCAAGCTGAGAAAGGGTAACTGGCCCGAGATCACCTGACAAGCTTCAGAGCTGAATGTGGATTTGAACCTGGGTCCCCCCAGCCCACCAATCACCACCACCTTGGCTGCACCATCTCTCCCCTACATGCCCGGGAGACCCTATTTTGCTTACCTGCTTGAACTGTGGGTAGGAAGGATCTCCAGGCTCGGGCCGGTTCACCACCGCATCCAGGACGATCTGCCCAGTAACCGGTGGGCACAAACGCACCGAGACCAGCTTGGATAGCTGCTGCTGAACGCCTGGGTCCATGTTAATCACTTCCATGTAACCTCCCCGGAAACCACACCTGGCAACACGAGGGAACGGGAGAGGGGCCCCATGGGGTTAAGGCAGCCATATTGGAACACGGACAGCAGAAAGGCAACCATTTTAAATTTACACCCTGCTGTTCTTGGTTCTGTTTCCATCAGAGATTTGAGGGGGGGGACTTCAAGGTCAGAGAAAAGCCCTGCCGAGCCCGCCCACTTCCAGCAATGGGACATCATCAGGCAACCCCTCTCCAGAGAAGACAACGACCCAAAGGGCAGTAAGCCCCTTGCAGACCTTCTAAAGGTGGCTCTGTGTTAAGTCGCTCGCTTAACAAAGCAGTCGGAGAGTGATTCAGCAAGAACACAGCTTTATTCTTCAACTCGAACACAACTCCAACACGGATCAACATCTGATAGCCAGAACAGCCTTTACATTGCAGCTGTCCTGCTTTTAAACATTCCCGGCTAATGTAGCCACACCCACTGTACAAATACCAACCAATAAGGTTGTTCACATAAGGACCAATCACGGATGTTCCCGCTCAGGGAGCTTGCTAGAAGGTGATTGGTTAGGTGCTTCCTGGGCTAGTAACATGATTGGATGGATTTGGATCCTAGCCCAGGACGAAGCTTTACATAGCACTTCAATTAGATGTTTCACAACATATCATGCATTCAAGGCAGCTTTGAATACACGACACTCTGATGATGAACGTGTCAGCTACGCAGGCCTTTTGCTCTAAGCCTGAGTTCCTCTGCCCACAGGGCCCGATGCCAATGCTCCCTCTAGGCTATGGAGTCCTGTGAGCAAAAATTCTACTTTGTGAGCTCCTGGCATTAAAGTTGTGAGCGGGTGATTTGGCTCCTGCATAAGTTAGTCTGCTCTGGAGCCCCCTCCTTCCTGAGCCAAGACAGAAATGTGTGCGCCGGAGGCTAAAAAACTGTGAGCTGGCTCACACTGAGACCCAGTGGTTGCTCTGCGCTCGCCCCTCTCTTAGCCGCGCAGCCCCGCGGCTTCGAGTGGGAAATGGACACGTACCATCGGGGCAAAGAGAGGAGCGAGCGCAGAGCGGCGGCTGTGGGAAATCGGTCTCAGTCCGCTTAGAGGGAACACTGCCCGATGCCTCTGTGGAAGGCGAAGTCAGCCCCCCACGATCCCACACACCCCACGTGTCCACGCTGCACTTGCATTCAGAACCCCCGCCCAGGGCCCTCGTGGAAGAAGAGACGGAGCACTCACTCGCCCATGAAGCCCTTGGAGATGGAGTAGAAGGAGGCCAGCTCCACCGTCCCCGAGTACTTGGGCCCCATCTCAAAGAGGACCTTCTTGAAGGAGTGGAACTGGGAGCCCTTGGCGTAAATGTTGTCCTGGTAGACCTGAGGAAGAAGGAGCCAGTGGGCACTGCGGCCAGGGCCCCCGCTGGCCGGAGGGCAAAGAGCCAAGGGCTGGGTCTCTGCACCCGCCAGACTGCACTGGAGCAGGAAGTCACGAGAACTCCAAGCGCAAATGCGTCGCCCACCCAGCTCCAGTTCTCCTATGCCCCAAACCTCAGCAGGGGGCCCTGGCCGAATGGGCAAGCCAGGGGGGCGGGGCGGGGGGGCTCACCTCATCAGCCAGGAGGAAGAGCTGCTCCTCCCAGGCAAAGTGGATGACATCTTCAATGCATTTGCGGCTCTGAACCTGCCCTGGGGTGGGAGAGAGAGACAGAGAGGATTCTTGGGGGAGACCTCTGGGGCTTTCGTCTCTTTGCACTGGGGAGGGGCACAGCAAGACCGAGGCTGTGGTGGTCACACGGCAAGCGTACTGCAATTTGTTCCCGCCGTGGATTTGATTGGGGACATTTTTAAGTCTGGACTCGCATCTTGGGATAGAGCAGGTAGAGGAAGAGGTACTTTCCCCCCTTTCTCACCATACAAGAACTCCTTGTGGGCACTCCCATGAAACTGCTGAGCG